CATGTTTGTGCACTGCAGCCTCTGACACAACTACAGTATTGTATGTGAAGTTGCTGGCAGACGCCTGGTCCCCTAGCATGTCCTGTGGTACCTCCCTCCAGCCCCTACAGGGCACTGGGTCAGCGTACAGCGCTCTGGTCCCCTAGCATGTCCTGTGGTTCCTCCCTCCAGCCCCTACAGGACACACTGATACTGGGTCAGGAGATGGAGCTACAGCGCTGAGATGGGACCAGACATCCCCCTTACCTCTGGTCCCATACTATGTCCTGTGGTACCTCCCTCCAGCCCCTACAGGACACTGGCATTGGGTCAGCGTACAGCGCTGAGATGGGACCAGACATCCCCCTTACCTCTGGTCCCATACTATGTCCTGTGGTACCTCCCTCCAGCCCCTACAGGACACTGGCCTTGGGTCAGCGTACAGCGCTGAGATGGGGACCAGACACACCCCTTACCTCTGATCCCCTATGTCCTGTGGTACCTCCCTCCAGCCCCTACAGGACACTGGCCTTGGGTCAGCGTACAGCGCTGAGATGGGGACCAGACACACCCCTTACCTCTGATCCCCTATGTCCTGTGGTACCTCCCTCCAGCCCCTACAGGACACTGGCCTTGGGTCAGCGTACAGCGCTGAGATGGGGACCAGACACACCCCTTACCTCTGATCCCCTATGTCCTGTGGTACCTCCCTCCAGCCCCTACAGGACACTGGCCTTGGGTCAGCGTACAGCGCTGAGATGGGGACCAGACACACCCCTTACCTCTGATCCCCTATGTCCTGTGGTACCTCCCTCCAGCCCCTACAGGACACTGGCATTGGGTCAGCGTACAGCGCTGAGTTGGGGACCAGACACCCCCCGGACGGGCGGTGGAAGGGGACGGGCGGTGGAAGGGGACGGGCGGTGGAAGGGGACGGGCGGTGGAAGGGGACGGGCGGTGGAAGGGGACGGGCGGACGGTGGAAGGGGCCTCCATAAAACCTCTTCTTTTGTAGTTGGAGCTCGAAGACTTCACAGCCCCAAACTCCAAAAACTTAGGGTGAGGGACAGTGGAAGCCAACCAATCCTGATCGATTGAACAAGATATCATTTAGAAGTTACAAACCCCTGTAACCATGGCCTGTGGATAGCTCCGAGGGTAGTTAGAAATCTGCTTGTGTGTGTCTGAGCACATGTGAAGCTTCATGGGAGTAAGTTATCAGGCAATAGACGGAGACGTATCCACCTTGGAGGTCCCGTTCAGACCAAGGAGCAGAGCGTCCGGCAAAGCTAACCAATGCCGACAAAGGACATCCACGTTCTTGCTACATCGGTGGAAGGTAGATTCCATCATGGGTGACCAGCACATGGATGTGAACGGGGCCTGAAGGTGGAAACCATTATGAATTCCCAGGCGACGGCAGTGCTGCGTTTCCACAACCTCAAACACAACTGACCCGGGAGAGAAGTCAGCACTTGTGCAACAATGGAAAGAGAACTTTATAAACTTCCACAAAGGAAAAGCTGCTGAAGAGACTGTTGTAGAAAAATCTGATCTATATATTTCTTCTCTCTTAGAAATGACGTTCTCTAGGCGTTGT